TGACAGCATTTTTACAAGTAGATTTGTTAGTCCAACAAAGCTGCTTTACTGACTTTACTACAGTTCCTCTGCGCAATTAAAATGATTTCACAAAGTGCCGCCCCATTCCTCAGACAGCGTTTGGAGGCCTCACATCATCCCCCACTCAGACACTTAACTACTGATGTCTCAGGGGAAGTCGATTAAAGTCTGTGAGGGCTCAGGGCTAAGGTTGGACATTTGACCTCGGCCCTTAATCAAAAACTGGCTTCTTAACTGCAGCTAGCAGTCAGTAAAACATGTTTAAATCACTGGGTTGGTAAAAACAAGTCTGCTGTGTAAAGCTGTGACATTTCACCAACTGATTTCTGGTACCAAAGCTCAACTTTTCAAATGTATCTCTCGGTGCCCCTTCGTGCTGCATATAGCCATAGAAAATGACCAAGTGCGGGTTTAAGAAAGTTAATTTGCATTGACTGTTATTGAGAAAGACGAAAAGAATTGTGTCTTATCTCTGTCATTTCCTCTTTGTTTCTCTCCTGGTGTGAATCAGTCTCTTTCTCCAGCTTCCTCTGTCTCAGTGAAGTCTTAATCAGTGTCTCTAACTACGTTTAAATTCAGTCTTGTCTCTCCCCTTTTTTTCTTTTCGTTCAGGGTCTCCCACAGTGTCTCTCCTCCTTGATTATGGAAAAAAGGACTTTATTTTCACATCAAGGACTGAAAGTATATCCCAATTATAGCATCCTCTCCGAGCGAGCTGAATTCTCCAAATGTTTCTCAGATGACTCCCCGACTCGAGCGCTGCGTCAGGTAAATGTATTCTGTCGATCCAAGGCCTATTCCCTTCATTTTCTTTTCTCCCCATGTAATAAATCATTATTCATAAAGTGTCATCCTGGAAACTGGTGATGCCCGATAGAAAGGAGATAGAGACGTGTGTGTGTGTGTGTGTTGCAGCAGAGGAAGATGGAGGGAGTGTTTGTCGTGTTTTTGAATGTATGGGCATATATTTGTGTGTGTGTGTGTGTGTGTGTGTGTGTGTGTGTGTGTGTGGTGTGTGTGTGTGTGTGTGTGTGTGTGTGTGTGTGTGTGTGTGTTGGCTTACATGTGTGTTAGTGTGTGTGTGTGTGTGTGTGTGTGTGTGTGTGTCTGAAGGCAGTGACTTGTATGCCTTCAGAGGCAGGGGCTGCCAGCACTCGGAGGGTTGCTGGCTCGATTCCCAGAGACCCTGAGGGAAAGGCACCTATTGATGGATTAAAAACTCCCACAGTGCTTTGCTTCCTGTGTGCACAAAGCCCACTGAGTCTGCAACCTCTCGGAGCCCACACACTGGTTTGGAAACAGTGTTGTCTCTCTTCTCTTTATACATCTCCTGTGACTTCATCTGTCTTGTAGTTTAAAATAGTCTTTCTCTCCACAGTTAGGCCTAATGCTTACAGTTCCTCTTTCCCTGTTTCCTCCTTCTGTGAGATCTATTGTAGCTAGCTAGGCCTGTATATTGCTTATTGTTAGTTACAACAGTAAGTTATTAAAGTACTGGTTCCAGTAGTGTCAAGGGAGAGGGTCAGCCAGTGTCAGCAGGCTACTTTTTGGTACCCTTGCTAAAAAAAGTGAACAGTGAAGCATAACTGTGTTGTGCTTTAAATCCCGCTGAAATCATTTGTGACATAACAGTAGTGATTCCCAACCTTTTTTCTTAAGGGACCTCTTTTTTATCTTTTAGGAAATGTACGACCCCTGGCTGAGTGACATATTTCATATTGTATAAAAACTTTACTATTAACCCAAATAGTGAACCCAGTAACCTCAAGAACTTTGTGCAAAACCATATATATATATATATGTGTGTGTTTTCTAAGCTTTCTAAATGTTCTTGCACCCCTTAAAATCAAGAAGGCCTTGTGACCCCCCATGAAGCTTTGGTGACCCCTAGTGGAGGTCCCAACCACCCCCAGGTTGGGAACCACTGGTCTATAAGACCCACGGTTGAAAGCTGGCAACAACATGCTCGCAGTTTAGCTATCTCGGCTACACCCATGGTCCCCTGTCCTCGTAGGTGGTGGTCCTTCAAGAGTCTCCCCTAGAAGAAAAATAAGAAACACAACCATAAAAAACAGTGACAAGCTATCATAACTTGCTAACTAGGCTATGAGCTAGGTTTCTAGATCTTTTACCGATCTTTTAGTTCTGTTAGTTATTATTTATTATCAGTGCTCGGTCTGCATCAGCTGTGAATCATCTTTCTCTTCATTCGTTTCGTACATTTCAAAGGCTATCCTTATAAATGTCATTTCTTCAGATATTCTACCAGTAATTTGTACTAAAACAATATGTTGCTGTAATCAGTTTGTCTTAATGACAAAGCATCATTAATAACAAGCAACGACATTATTAAGCATCACAGGTGACACTTTCAACAATAATATAATTTTGTGAGCCAGCAGGGCGTGCATTGGTCTATCATTTATTAAACTAATCATATGATGCTAACAGCTGTCAGATCATAACAAGCTATAATGCATAAAGACAGCCAAACTTCCTTAATAATGTTGTTTAAATTGAAACTGAAATAAATAGTTTTTTGTGCATAATATCTTCATAGATTTATCTGAAGTCTGATATTTGCCTCAGACAAACAGGACTCCTGGGGAATTGGGATAGATATAAGATAAAAACATAGATTCGTGAAAAGATGGAGTTAGAAGTGCAAAAGAGAATATAGCTGTGCGAGGCGAGAAATATATTTATAGATGGAGAGATGTTGGAGATATTTTCTGTGGTTCCTATATTTGGCTGCTATGAGAGGGTGGGAAGCTGGTTGTACATTTAGCTGCAAGAGCATTCAGGAAAGGTTCATACTACTTGACTATTATACCTTACTTAAACCAAACACCTTATGCATAAGAACGCAAGAAATCCCTGAGAAAGAAATGTAACTCCTGTTTCCTTTTCTGTATTTTAGCAATAGCAAATAACACACTGTTAAATGTCTTTCAAGGTTTGTGTTGTTTTCTTTATTCCTGATTGGATGTTATTCTTGACAGCCGTACTTCATTATGATTGAAGTGTTTCAAAATGACGACAGCTTTGGACGTCAGAGGAGCCAGGAGCTATCACATTAAGTGCATAAAAAAAAATTATACAACAACGCATGATGATTTAAATTAGCCTCATTATCAGGTCTTCACTCAAAAAAGAGAGGGAGTGAGGGAGTGTGAGGGAAGGAGAGAAAGCAGCTATAGTTGTAGCTGTCCTGTCACCATGGGAACAGAAGGGCTGCTGATAGTAGATCCTTGTGGTGAAGGCACTGTACCACCAATAACACCCAACCTGAGTGTTAATTTCAGCGTTTGACCAGAACATGGAAACACACTGAAATGAAATGTAAGTGTGAGTCAGTACTGTGTTTGTGCTACATTACGCAAATGTCCCTACAAAGATAGAAAATGTCTTCTTTAATTTAATATAAGTTTTTTGATTGGCTGTGAGGTGAGGGGAATACCTGTATAGTAAGAGTGTGTTCCTCTGTGTGTGTGTGTGTGTGTGTGTGTGTTTTAACAGCAGAAGCGCGTGCACTCTACCACTCAAGTGCTGCTATCCATCAATCCCTCATTTATCTTACTCTCTGTCTCTGACCAGCGGCAGCTATCGCTCTCTGCCTGCCTTCCCTTTTGATTGTCTCCTCTCTGACTCTGTCAAGATTTCAGCCTCAGAATTGGCCTGTATTGATATTTGATTTGGCTACAGTAAAGAATGTCTCATATAGTTGAGGGTTGGTGATATTTTAAGTTGCTAAAATGAATCATAAACCACCGGAGCTACGGATTAACCACCTTTAACCCTGCTATCGACTTGCCTGCTGTGTGGTGACGCAGTTTAACACAGGAGTTCAATCAGTTCTCCTCCTCCAACATCTTTTTTTCCACTTTCATATGCTGGTAAAAGGACTTTTTAGTTTTTAAAACTTGAATTAACAACCCAGTCTCCTAAAAAATACTCATTTGAAACAGAAAATACAGTTTGAACATAATGTATTGATGTTGCAAATTGTTCATATTGAATGTAAACGTATGTGATTGGTTTTCTCTACAATATCTGCTATTGGCAACTAAAGAATGATGCATGTTTTTATGTTTGGACAACTCAAAGCACTTGGTTGAGTTTAGGGAGAAATTGGGACCTTGGTTGAAAAAGTCAACAGTAGCAAGACAAGAAATGAAGTTACTTTAAATTTAAAGTCCACATGAGAAATCAGCTTCTGCATATTTAAGTAGTTCATGTAAAATCAGGCAGCAAGGGAGCCAATAGCGCCGTGTGTTACACAGCTATAGCAGACTATAGCTGACACTGCTGGGACTGGGAGCTCCCAGTGAAAAGCACGGCAAGCCTGGGACCGAATGCAGCATCTGATGCCGACGCAGGACAGTGTGATGACATGGAATAAAGTACAGAGGTGGTTTTTTTGCCGGGTTTTGGTCCTGCCACCCAGGGCTAAGTTGGTTTACATTAGCTACACAAGCTAAATAGCTGACGCCATCTGATACTGTTGGCAATAGTACATCATACACTGGTTGAAACTTGGTTGAAATCAGTTAATAACTACATAAGCATGCGTCACATCTTCTTTTACAGAAATTAAATAGGGGTACAATATAACTATGAATGCAATCTTAAAGGGAATGGCGCCGGCGACAACGGCAGCCTGTCATGGCAGCTCCTATCATCGTTGTACTTTCAGCGTGTTTTCAGGTTTTTTTTTCTATTTTGAACTCTTTTCTTACTTTCTTACTACTTTGTTGACGTCGCCTAAATACTTTTTGGGTGTTTTTGAGCACTTTTTATTTTTTGTTTGCACGGGTCTCCATGGCGACGGCGAGTCACATTGTTTACACCCGCGACCAGATGATCGCCCTGAGGTACCCGAGCATCCTGACTCGAAAGAGACCCTCCATACCCGAGGAGCTGAGGAGGAGACGGCGAGGCTGCAGAGCCGGGGTTAAACGGAGGATGAAGAAGAGGAGGTTTAAACTCTACATCCCTGCAATCACCACTGGAAACAAATGTGGCTACACGAGCAGATGCTGGATTCCAACGTCACCATTCCCGGCTTCCAGACGGTTCGAGCCGACAGGGATACCACTGCAACCGGCATGAAGAAAGGAGGGGGACTGTCCGTGCTCATAAACAACAGGTGGTGTAACGCCGGGCACGTCTGTGTGAAAGAGCGTCTGCAGCCCGGACATCGAGCTTGTCGCCGTCGAACTACGTCCATGTTATCTGCCATGGGAATTTTCCAGTGTGATCGCCATCACTGTCTATATTCATCACAGTGGTCTTCATCATCATCATCACTGTCTATATTCCTCCGTCTGGGAAAGCAGAAGCAGCGTGTGACGTCATCCACACTGTGACTGCAGGACTACAAACGAAACACCTGGAGGCCTCCATCATCATCACAGGGGACTTCAACCATGTTTCTCTCTCGTCCACACTCCCAACCTTCCACCAGTTTGTCACATGCAGCACCAGAGACAATAAGGCCTTGGACCTGCTGTATGCAAATGTTCCTGTTCTTTATGTCTGTAGCCTATTTATTTCACTCAAATGTTGCTGTGACAAGTGAATTTCCCCATTGTGGGATTAATAAAGTTATCTATTTATCTAAAATGACATTTTTCACTTCACCTGGATTTTAACCAAACTCATTCATTAAAAAAAGTGTTTTTTTAGCTTAAACCTAACCACACACATAAGATGCAAATCCTGTGTCAAAACCAAGAGCTTTTAACACCCACCACCTAACCTCCCAACGAGCAAAACAAGAACAAAACGCCTCCTGAGATGAAATAAACATTATCATATAATCCAGGCAGCAATTACAATTTGCATCAGTCACACACATTTCTTCTGGTTACAAAATGAGTCCGATTGTAATACGGAGATGTCACACACATCCTGCTGGGATCATTCACTCTTTTCATATAGCACATTTGGAGATATTGAAAACACGTTTGATTTGATTGATTTGATTTGATGTTTCCTTTTTTTTTTCTTTAAAAATCTAATGTTAAAGGTCTAGCGTGGTCTTCTTCCACAGAGTCCGCCATGTTGAACCGCCATGTTTCTACAGTAGCCCAGAAGGGACAAGCAAACACTGGCTCTAGATAGGACCATTTGCATGTTTTCACAAATTTTGTGAAACCACCTTAGTTCCTCACGCTTCAAAGGGGAGGGTGAAATGAGTGAGTTGCAATCTGCATCCACACTGCTAGCTGCCACTGAATTCTACACACTGGACCTTCAACATATTTATCCAAAATGTAAATAAGAAAACAAAATCAAAAACATTATGCTTTTGTTGGTTATTTGTTGCTTATTCTGACAATGACAGTACATTGCAGGCCTGGATAAGACATAATGACTGCTAAAAGCCTGCACAGGGAATAGAACAGAGCAAAAACAGCAGGAGGTTCAAAGGGTTAAAAATATCTGAATACTGTATAAGTCTACCACTGAGATAGATGCTGTGTGTGCTTGTGTTTAGAGGCTATGCGCACATATGTAATGACTCTATGTGTGTCACAGCCTGGGGTGAATGTGTGTGCCTCCAGCACTCGGCAGCATGTGTCCGTTTATCTCCGAGAGGGACCAGAAATCCCATCACAGCAGTGAAAGCATGACTCCGGTGGCTCCTCAACTGGCTCAGCATGGGGAAAAAATAATAACAAAAATTCAGACATTAAAGCTGCAGTAGGTAACTTTTATAAAATAACTTGGTTGTTTTCGTTTAGGCCCAATGAATTCTTGCAAATGCCATTAGGAGCACTAGGAGGAACCAGAGAAACCTGAGTTTTTCACAGATTATCTGTCTCATGTACTACTGTCAGGATATAGTGATATAATAATAATAAAAAATAAAAAGGGGCCATCAGAAGAGTTAAAGGCTGTTAACATCTGCCTGGAAAGCAGTGCAAAGAACTTCTGTTCAGTGGGGTCGAGCCTCTTCCTGCTCTAACTTTGAAAAAGTTTCAGGTGGAATTTCAAGCAGTTGAGTTGGAACTGAATGGAACAAATTCACAGTGTTGGGGAAATGTGTCAAATGTCAGTGTGAGAGGTTTTTGTATAAGCAGATAGTGTCTGACACAAGAGAGACTTTCAGGACTGCAGGGTTTTCTTTTACTTTTGTCCCAGCTGGATACCTAACACCCATAGCTGTTTGGTGCCTCAATGTTATCAAGTGAAGCAGATTCAGATGCAAAAGCACATTTTAAATTTGCCATACCATAAATTTCACTGAATCGCCACATTACCTCAAAGCGCTTTGTGGAAACCTCCGGCTTCTGTGTGCATTTTATGATTCGACAAAACTCAAGAGTGGCAATTGTGTGCTAGAAATGGGTACTTCAAAAGAGTGCTTCCTGTAAAGTGAGGTCCTTGGAAGGTAGCAAGGGTTATTTTTGCCGATTATGGATCACACAGAGACTATTAAATACCACAAAAGATGTACTACTCAGCAAAAGGAAACGGCTGTGATTTCTGCTTTGAGAGCAGAGAAAAAAAGGCACCAGCTATGGATGCTGAAAGTAGTCAGTGTTCTCCTTCATGTGCTTTGCTTATGTTTAAGAAAAGTCATGGGGTCATGCTGACAGGGTGGCATTATACTTTGTTGTTCTGTGACTATAAGTGAGAATAATGTATCTGGATGTTGGCTTTTAAGGATACCGATGAAAGGCTTGGAACACTGTAAATTACAAACAATGTGAACTAAGACAGTAATACAGCTTTCTACTGTATATAACCATTTTCTCATTACCTGTGAAATGTGCAGTATAATGTGTGCCAGTTACATTCATAGATATGCATTACAACTATCTGTATAATACGTTATATTATTCAGCTTGTGCAGTGTTTTGCACTTTGTTCTAATTTCAGTTTGTAGATACATCATAAAACATTAATAATTAATCATTAATAACCTCCTAGAAACCTACCTAGAAAAAAAATATTTTAGACTGTCCCCACTAACACTATGCTTACTTATAATGATTAGAATCTTCAGAAATCATTTTTTTTTTTTTTTGTATTTTGTTTTCATCAGAAATTCATGATAGTTGTGTCCCCTGTTACTCTAACACATACACCCCTCTAAACATTTGGGACATCTCACAAGTCACATGATCTACAAGAAGTGGCGTCTTCTGAAGGCCATGGGGAGGCCAAAAGTAACTTATCTCACTCTACTATGTGTACTACTTATCATAGGTATGATAGAGAATGTCAGTCTCAATGTTCCATTCTGTTATCTGAAGTATTTATTCAATGTTGCTATGAGTTTTTTAAAAGATAGTTTTGGTGTACAACCTGAAGTGTTGTCATGCTATTAGCATTGATGCTATGTGGCTACATTTCATGTATTCTGCTGAAAACCTTTTACTTTCAGTCATACACTGTAAATATATTTAGAGGCTGAAATAGGATAAAGAATTGAGTTTAACTTGATAAGTTACAACATGCAAACGCCACCGATTTTATAATCTTGATGAAATGAAACTTTTTAAATTCATTTTGAAGATTGCCTCAATTTTTCCCCCATTAAAATATCACAGAGACAACCAGCCCCATAGTGTGTGACCAGAAATCCCACGATAGGGATGGTTGTCACAAGTGTACAAGACGTATTTGACAGTCCTCATCTATTGAACAGAATAAGCCCATGGAGAGTAAGGTAACTTGATTCCTACCTGACACTTTGGGGAATATAAGGATGCAGAGAGAGAGAGAGAGAGAGAGAGAGAGAGAGAGAGAGAGAGAGAGAGACAGAAGCTCATTTTGTAGGGACTTGGGCTGCAGGTTCAAGTCCAGCACAGACCACAAGTGTGGTACCAATGTGAGTGAAAATAATTTCCTCCATTGGGGATTAATTAGGTAAATCATATTTAAATAACAAAGGCACAAATTAAGAAATACCAGATACAAATGGAAAGAAATACTTAAATAAGATTAAAGATAATACATTCCCAATGAAGCAGACACATAATTGCACTAACACACAGAATAAAACCATTATTCAAGAGAATGCAATTCTGAAATAATGCTTTTTTAAGAGAGACTTTAAAGAAGAAACAGAGCTGGCCTGTCTGATCTCCTCTGGCAGGTGTGTTTGTAGGAACTACTAATAGCTATTTTCAGACAAACAGTTATTTTCGTTATGGTGTAAAGATCTTTGGTCTCTTACTGAAATCTAGTTTGGAAAACGCACAATTTAGTCTTGAGCTGAATCTAATGACCTTGGAAAGCAGCTTGTTGTGGCAATATGCACTTCCAAGTGTGAAGGGCGCAAGGTGGATTTCTCATATCCACAGAGCACCCCTCCAGGTTCCTTTGACCTGCAGAAGGTGGAGACCTGGCTGCCGGTGTCAGTCATCATATGGAACAGCTGGCCTCATCTGCAGTCAGTGCCAACATAGGGGCCTGCAAAGAAGGTGGGTTTTATAAAACTGGACACAATTTAAAGTTTAAGAATTTCAAAATGCTTTTCAACCCTTCTTCCCCATCAGATGAGGAAGGAAATGCAAGAAGTAAACTTCAAAAATACTTCATTCTTCCACAGGCAGTTTTCGAACTTAGGAAGACAGTTGCAGCATTAGAGGACATGCTAGGAAAAACTGGTAAAAACCAGCTCGGTCACAGCAAAACATATGAATCTGAACATGGGCAAGGATGTTCAGACTCATGCTGTAGCTCTATGGGACAAATTGGGAAAGGGACTAAACGCATCCTGGCTAACACACTGATCAAACAAAAATCTCTCGGGACTCCTGGATAAAATGTTCTGACCCAAAACTAGACCCTCAAGCCTCAATCTTTCTGAGGGCCCGACAGGAAGTGCATCAATTTTTAGGCAGTGGAGCACCTTGACAGCCACCCACTGTAAAGCGATGCAAACCAATTTTCTGTGCTGCCATGAATTTGCACATAGAAGAGTTGAGTGAGAAATCAACTTTAAACAGTGGGTTGATGGCTTGACTTGGCTTTGGTGCGAGCCAGCAGACAGCCGGAGCAAGAGAAAATACATTCACACAAACAGAGTTTACAAAAGAAATACAAAAAAATAATAATTCTCTGAAGGTGCACAAGCACCCTTTGAGAGGAGCGCTTCTAGCCTCTCAAAAAGTCAGTTTTATGTGATAAAAAAGGATCCACACACTTGCAGTTGATCCATGGATTTGGAGCTCTTATTGTCGCTGTGGCACTACAGTACAGAAGACACATTGGTGTAGAGGAAGTTTTGTGACTTTAAATGTGCTTTTGAAGAGATATTCTCACCCCTTTGAGTGTGTGAGATGTGGCTGGGGTGTCTTCACAGCTGATAGACAGAGTAAGGCATTCTGAAGTTATCAGGCACACTCTAAGAAGGTGGCGGACGGAGGGGGGAGAGTGTGCAGCAGATTTCCATTTGTCTTAACATCTTTGCGGATTCCCCAGCTCTCCCATAATTTTTAAGTATATGTGACCACACTGATCGTAAAGGTACATCACTTGTTGTTATAACTAGCTCTAGTGTTGTTCTACTGTGGTTGTAGACATGAGAGAAATGCCAATATATTGTAGTGTAATTTTTCACATTTATGATGACTGTCATGATTATGTCGCTTTTGGCGCCTTTG